TTTTACTTTTTTTTTGGTGCTGTCAATTAATATAAAACAAATTGACTTATTAATCGCACATTTTTCTGTGATTAATCGCACCTAACATTAAAGTTTTTAATATATTTTTATATTGTTAATTTCACATTTAATCTCCCAATAAATTTTGAAACAACATAAAGAATTTTTATCCATTCAGCATTACAGTATAATTGAAAGCTTTGAATTGAAGTGAACTTCTAACAATCTTCGCTTAAACCCATGGTAATAAATGTCAGGGTTACTGTGCCTTTAAATGTATCAGGGCCACAGAAGTGCCTGTTCTGGTTGTGTTCGACCCATGTGACCTTCTGTGAACTGTAACTGCGCTGTTCCCAGGGAACATGTTTTATCTGGTGATGCCCAAAGATCAGTCCAGCGCTCCGGCCGACGAGAGCAGCACCGATGAGCTCACACACCCCGAGAACAGCCACCACACACACCGCAGTGTGTGCTCGTCGCCCTTCATCATCGAGGAGGAGGAGCCCGAGACGCCCTGCCTCTCTCCAGCTGACCCGTCGCTCACCGGGACTCTGAGTCGAGGGCAAGGGCTCGACCAATCACAGGCCAGCACGCAGCGTCATGTGATCAAGAACTCGGACCAGATCTTCAACACCATGGAGGAGCTGATGAGGAAACTGCAGCATCTGAGGGTTAAAACACACACACACACACACACACACACTCTTACACGCATACACTCGCTCACACACACGCTCACTCACACACACACGCTCTCTCTCACACACACTCTCTCACACACACACACACACTCTTACACGCATACACTTGCTCACACACACGCTCTCTCTCACACACACTCTCTCACACACACACACACTCTCTTACACACATACACTCGCTCACACACACGCTCACTCACACACACACACACACACTCTCTCTCACACACACGCTCTCTCTCACACGCACTCTCTCACACACTCACACACACTCTCTCACACACATACACACTCTCTCTCACACACACACACACACACACACACACACGCTCACACACACGCTCACACACACGCTCACACACACGCTCACACACACACTCACTCACACACGCAAACACACACACGCAAACACACACACACACACACACACACACTGTGACACACGCGCTCACTCACACACACACACACACACGCTCACTCACACACAGGCAAACACGCTCACTCACACACACACTCTCTCTCACACACACTCTCTCACACACACTCTCTCACACACACACACACACACACACACACTCTTACACGCATACACTTGCTCACACACACGCTCACTCACACACACACGCTCTCTCTCACACACACTCACACACACTCTCTCACACACACACACACTCTCTTACACACATACACTCGCTCACACACACGCTCACTCACACACACACACACACACACTCTCTCTCACACACACACGCTCTCTCTCACACGCACTCTCTCACACACATACACACTCTCTCTCACACACACACACACACACACACGCTCACACACACACTCACTCACACATGCAAACACACACACGCAAACACACACACACACACACACACACTGTGACACACGCGCTCACTCACACACACACACACGCTCACTCACACACAGGCAAACACGCTCACTCACACACACGCTCACTCACACACACACTCACGCTCACACACACGCTCACTCACACACGCAAACACACACACACACTCAAACACACACACACACACACAGTGACACACGCGCTCACTCACACACACACACGCTCACTCACACACAGGCAAACACACACACACACTGTCACACACACGCTCACTCACACACACACCCTCACACACTCACTCACTCACTCACACACACACACTACAAACATGTCCATGCACGTCCAGCCCATATTTGACCCAAATACAATACAAAGACACACAAAGTATATTTTACACTAAGAACTTGAAGCTTGTTTTAGGCATGTTTGAAGTTTTTATAAAATCAATAAAAATAATTAAAAATGAATACTAGAAATTATAATGTCAAAAAGCTTATACATTACAAATACACATTTATACATTATAGTAGTTTAATATTTTCATTTAATATAAAAAAAAATATATATATTGATGCAAAATTAAAGCAAATGAGTTTCTGAAATAAGGTATTTTTTGGGGGGTATTCAAATTGTATTATTTTCTATATATATATACCTGTGTGTTTCGCTCCTCTGCTGCTGCAGGACATTGAAGCGGATCACCACACACTGCTGAAGACGTTACGGCAGCCGGTCCCTGCGGACGAAGCGCCCGGCGGTGTCGTGTGCCGGTGTCCCGCCGCGGCCCGGATGCCTTCGCTGGACCGGGGAGCCGGAGACGGTGAGGACACACTCAATAACCGAGTCTGCGCTTCCACTGCTGTTTTAACACCTTTAAATACAATTTACAGTGCAGGAAATCTGTGTAAAGTCAGCCCATGATTTACTCTCCCTGAAGCCATCCTAGGTGTGTGTGACACTCTTCTCTCAGACGAACACAATCTGAGTTATATTGAACATGTCCTGGCTCTTCCAAGCTTTATAGGCCTTTTGTAGCTCCGCCCCTTTCAGCGCTGCGCTCGTGGTCTTCTGTCTTCCGGTCTGTATTTTCACTGCGATCTTCCGTATTTATGAATGAACGACTCGTTTTTAAATCTTCCCGATCGACTGACATTTGTTAAGACATCTGCTTTAAACATTACAAGCCTCATGATAACTTGCGTTAACTTTACATTAAGTAAATCCACTTCAAAAGCGAATTACTCCTGGACAGCGATGCCATGGAGATACACAGAGCGACCGCAAAAACAGAAGTTCAAAGACAATATCTAAAGATGGCGGCGCCCTGTTTCTCTGGCGCATGAGGTCTATAGTGAGAGTGAATGGGTTTATTTTTTTGGAAGTCCATCAAATCGGATGTCATACACACCTAGGATGGCTTCAGGGAGAGTAAATCATGGGGTGATTTAAATTTTTGGCTGAACTATCCCTTTAAACCCTGTGTGTGTGTGTTCTCTCAGGTAAAGAGGGCGTCTCGACAGAATCGGCTCAGCCGGAAATCCAGTCCACTGGCTTCTGACGGTTCACACTGGACTTTCATCTCGCACACACAGACTCACGCAAACACACACTATGATGTAGCCCCTTCCCAGCATGCCTTGCGCCTGGAAGCACCATCCAGGTTGAATTATGTGTTGTGTGTGTCAATTCGTGACTTGAGAGACGGGACGGACGACCCTTCGGCCCGCGCCGAGAGAGGAATGACGGAGAAAGGAAAGTGACGATTCGAGAGAGGGAAAATGAAATGCGATTGGTTGATGGGAGAACGTAAGTGATGCGTGACGAACAGGAAGTGATGTCGCGCGGCTGAAGACATGACTCTGTCCTTTGAAGGAAACCCCAGCACTTTACCTGCTTCACATCTCGTTGTCGTCGTCACCCTGGGCCGCTGAATACGGCGTACACCACTTCAGGATCTTTTGCACTGGGAATAAGGATGTCTCACGGATACATATCGCTAATATCGTAGCTTGTGTTTGATTACGTAAAACACTACGCGGAAGAAGGAAAACGACAAAAGCTGAAGGTTTTATTTTATTTTATTTTATTTTAATGGAAGAAATAAAATATCCAACAAACGTTTGTTCAGTTTCTATGCACTATTAACTGGACTCCTGTTTATATCACGCAGGGGGAAAGGGGCGTGTTTATGAATTCTGACATCATGTCATGTGACCCGACACACTTGTATTACGTGTAAATACTGTGAGCGTTTGTTCGTCACATGCTCAACGGCTGCTTGAAAACACAAAATGAAGGGATCGGCAACTCTAATAAATGAAAACAACTTTTCTGAGCGTTTGACTCGTCCGCCTAACCTGCCGAAGGAGGATCGTTACCTCGCCTCCTTTTATGTTTTCCGTTTATTATTCTTATTTGAATGGTTTTGTGTATGTGCGACTGGAGAACGTGTTTCAGAGACGCTGCTTGTGTGGATAACTGCTGTTAACTCAGGTGGAGAGATGTAAACGTGTTTCTCTCGTTAGCTTTAACTCTTTCCCCGTGAGTTTTCTCCTCTTTTCTTCTCTTCTCTTCTTTCGTCTCCCGCCTCATTCCTCCATCGCTTCACACGTCATTCGTGCTCGTCAGCGGTTCGTTGCACTGGGAAGAAAGCGCGCGCTCGTGCGAACTACTGTACGTAGACCTTTGTGTTTTTATTTTTATCACTCATGTAATATAGTTCACGGCCTGTTTTATATGTTCATTATCTGTAAAGCTCTGGTCATTTCTTTTAATTTTATTTTTGTAGATATGACAAACAAAAGATTTGTAAATTATTTTCTCTCCCTCTTTTTTAAAAAAGGCGAGATTGTTAGATGAACAGAAGGAAAATAAACTCATGTTTAAAAAAACTCATTTGTTTTGTGAAATTAAAAATGTTTAAAAAAATATATATTTGCAGTGTGTTTTTTCAGTGGTGAATTTAAAAAAAAACGTTTCTGTGTTTAAAACCTGTCTGAACTGATTTACTTCTCACTTTCCTGAAGCTGTATCTAATAATATAATAACTATATCTAATAATAATAACTGTATCTAATAATCTGATAATGAAAGAAAAGATGCGCTGGAATTGGACACGGCCTTTGAAAACGGGTTGAGGCGTCAGAATTGATATGTTCAATATTTTACTTATTATGCACAATTAGATGGACAATGTTTGGCATTTCAGATACATTTGTCCATTTAATAAATATATATATATATATATATATATATATATGAACGCACACACATACAGTGTATTAATTATTAATTAATTGTGCAAAATAATGGGTTGTGTTCCCTTTTAGAGTTTTGCTCTTTACATCACAATCACATTTTGTCCATTTTGCTGAAAAGCCTGACACAACTTACCCCTTACAGGACCAATGTGTGTCACTGTATTTTTATAACCTTCCATACTGTATTAATGTGGCCTACAATAAATGAGGCAACACATAATACAAACTTGCACATCAGAAATAAGCAGAACATATAAAAACTTAAATAACAAATGATAAAACTGATACAACAGAATCTAAAATGCATGCATTTGCAATTCCCATACATAAAAAAAAAAATCAAAATATAAAAAATTAACCCTTTCATGCATGAATTATGATAACCTCAGTCAGGATTTTTTTTCTATGTGTTTTTATTGCTCTCAATGCATGAAAAAAGATTTGATTTGATTATTTTATATATTTTTTTTAACATTTTTCAAAGAGATTTCCAGATGTCCACTTGAGTGGACAGCATGCGTTTATGGTTTAAACTGAACTGATACTGTATTAAACATAATACAATAATCAAACAGATGGGGAAGGCATAACGCATTCAGATTACTTTTTTGATGTTACAAGTAAAGTAATGTATTACAATAACGTGCATTACGTAATCAGATTACTTTTTGATCTAAGAAGTAATGCATTATGTAATCAGATTACTTTTTTGATGAAATGAGTAAAGTAATGCATTACAAGTCACATAAATTATGTAATTGCATAACTTTTTTAGATGTCAATGAAAATTACATTCTAATAATACAAATACATTTATTTACAGTCAAAAAAAGTCACTGCAGATTAAGTATTTTCAAAAACAATATTCACAGTGTAAGTATGAATTGTAGCTGAAATATAGCCATTGATGCATGAGGTCCACTACAGTGGACAGGTGATTAATCAGATTTTTCTCCCAATCTAAAATCAAAACTTGGAAAATGTTACTGTGATATGACTCATTAGATATTACTTGATGCTGCAATATTTGTTTACCTACAAGAGTCTCCTCGGATAGAAGGAATGGGTGGAACTTGGCATGTCTGACTGACCATTGGCCATCTTGGTTTGGAGGGGGAAAAATCGACACACAACGGCTTACAACTTGGAGCAGAGATAGTGCTTGAAAAGGCTGTTGTTTTACAAGGTCAATGTTTGCCAGCCCTTGAAGTTAAAATATGACACTTGAGCACTGAAATTGTGGATGTGTGGAAAAAGTTTAAAAAAATCTTTATGCAATGTAAATTATTTGTCTTTTTTATATTAGATTTTGGATCAGATCAAATATTAAGCAATGTTCCTTGATGGGAAACATGTTTTATTAAATCCATATATTTTTGTTTGTTTAAAATTAATAATTTCTATTAACTTTTATTTTTAAAAATGATACATAATTGTTCAATTAAATCTATATATATTTGATTGGAGAAAACAAATCATTTCTAATACATATTTCTTAAACGAGAAGTTTTGTTTTGATTAAATCTATATATTGTTGTTTAGATCAAAAATAGAATTTAAATTAATTGACTTTATTCAACATGAAAAAGTTTTATAAAATAGTTTTCATAGACATAGAAAATATTGGTAAGGGTAAGTTATTTATTTTTCATTGGTTCAAGTTATAAAATATAGATGTGAACCATTACCCTAAAATTTTTTAATTGGATGAATGAAAATATTTTTTCAAGGGGTGTCAAACATACTAGATGGTTTAATAGATAATTTCTGCAAAAATAAATAGTTTTATAATCATAGTTTTACTGTAAAATTAACACATATAATTGATTTACTTGTTTACAAAATATTACTGTTAAGATAACTATGTTTCATTTAATTTACAACATATTATTGTTAAGTTAAAAACAATTAAAATGTCATTTTAACATTATGCTCTTGTCTTTTAAACTGTGCTCTAATTGAATATACAATTTTAGTCTGTACAATTTACAGAAATAGATCATTTCTACAAAAATATATGTTTTTATAATCATAGTTTTACTGTAAAATTAACAGATATATTTGATTAACTTGTTTACAAAATATTACTGTTAAGATAACAATGTTTCATTTAATTTACAACATATTATTGTTAAGTTAACAGTGTTCAATTGTATTCTCATTTACGGTATTCCCATGTAGCTATTTTACAGCATTTCAAAGTTAATTTTACAGACATTTTTTACAGTGTATAGGATGATGCACCAGGGTCCACTGTAGAGATTGATGTGCAACTTTGCCATCAAAACCCTTGCAAATTCAAGAAAATGCTTTTTAAATAGGTGTCCACTGTAGTGACCATGCGTGAAAGAAAATGTGAAACATCTTATTTATTTTTTAAATCATACAAAAATGAGGTCCTTCCTGCAGTTTACAATAAAAATAAATAACTAAAATCATTCCTGTAGTTTCATAAAAAAAGATATCTTCTGAAAATTAGGTCAACATACAGTTTAAATATATGAATAATAATAATAATAAATATGTTCCAGAAATAAGGTCATTACTGCAGTTTCAAATAATAATAAAGAATATGTTCCAAAAATTAGGTCAATACTGCAGTTTCAAATAATAATAATAAAAAGAAATTATACCTATGTTTTTAAAAAAGGTAATTCTTGCAGTTTCAAAAAATAATAAAACATATGTTCCAAAAAATTAGGTGATTTCTGCAGTTTAAAAAATATATATATGCCTATGTTGCAAGAATGAGGTCATTCCCATTTCAAATAATAATAATAATTATAAAATATTTTTCAAACATTTGGTTATTTCAATTTCAAATAAATAATAATAATAATAACAAATATGTTCCAAACATAAGGTCATTCCTGATTTTTGTATTTACACACACACACACACACACACATATATATACACTCACCGGCCACTTTATTAGGTACCCCATGCTAGTAACGGGTTGGACCCCCTTTTGCCTTCAGAACTGCCTCAATTCTTCGTGGCATAGATTCAACAAGGTGCTGGAAGCATTCCTCAGGGACTTTGGTCCATATTGACATGATGGCATCACACAGTTGCCGCAGATTTGTCGGCTGCACATCCATGATGCGAATCTCCCGTTCCACCACATCCCAAAGATGCTCTATTGGGTTGAGATCTGGTGACTGTGGAGGCCATTTTAGTACAGTGAACTCATTGTCATGTTCAAGAAACCAATTTGAAATGATTAGAGCTTTGTGACATGGTGGAAGTAGCCATCAGAGGATGGGTACATGGTGGCCATAAAGGGATGGACATGGTCAGAAACAATGCTCAGGTAGGCTGTGGCATTTAAACGATGCCCAATTGGCACTAAGGGGCCTAAAGTGTGCCAGGAAAACATCCCCCACACCATTACACGACCACCACCAGCCTGCACAGTGGTAACAAGGCATGATGGTTCCATGTTCTCATTCTGTTTACGCCAAATTCTGACTCTACCATCTGAATGTCTCAACAGAAATCGAGACTCATCAGACCAGGCAACATTTTTCCAGTCTTCAACTGTTCAATTTTGGTGAGCTCTTGCAAATTGTAGCCTCTTTTTCCTATTTGTAGTGGAGATGAGTGGTACCCGGTGGAGTCTTCTGCTGTTGTAGCCCATCCGCCTCAAGGTTGTGCGTGTTGTGGCTTCACAAATGCTTTGCTGCATACCTCGGTTGTAACGAGTGGTTATTTCAGTCACTGTTGCTCTTCTATCAGCTCGAACCAGTCTGGCCATTCTCCTCTGACCTCTGGCATCAACAAGGCATTTCCGCCCACAGAACTGCCGCTCACTGGATATTTTTTCTTTTTCGGACCATTCTCTGTAAACCCTAGAGATGGTTGTGCGTGAAAATCCCAATAGATTAGCAGTTTCTGAAATACTCAGACCAGCCCTTCTGGCACCAACAATCATGCCACGTTCAAAGTCACTCAAATCACCTTTCTTCCCCATACTGATGCTCGGTTTGAACTGCAGGAGATTGTCTTGACCATGTCTACATGCCTAAATGCACTGAGTTGCCGCCATGTGATTGGCTGCTTAGAAATTAAGTGTTAACGAGCAGTTGGACAGGTGTACCTAATAAAGTGGCCGGTGAGTGTATATATATAAATGTTTATTATTATTATTTATCTTTTTTTAAATATATATATACATTATATATATATATATATATATATATATATATATATATAGTTTTTTTATTATTATTATTTATCTCTTTTTTTAAATATTCCTCCAGTTTCAAATAATAATACAAAAATATTTTTTTAAAAAAACCCTGCAGTTTCAAATAAAAAATTATAATAAATAATAATGTTCTAAAAATTAGGTCAATACTGCAGTTTCAAATAATAATAATAAAAAGAAATTATACCTATGTTAAAAAAATGGTATATAAAAATGGTATATATATATATGTATGTGTGTGTGTGTGTGTGTGTGTGTGTGTGTGTGTGTGTGTGTGTGTGTGTGTGTGTGTGTGTGTGTGTGTGTGTGTGTGTGTGTGTGTGTGTGTGTGTGTGTGTGTCCTGTTCCAGCATGAGCTCCTGCGGGGCGGGGGGCGGAGCTGAGCATGGGGGAGGTCCAGTGCAGGCTCGGCTCTGCTCGCGGCTCTCGGCTGGAGTCGGGCGCTCATTCGGGGCGTGTTTCAGCGCAGGTTTGAATGGAGACGGAAATATGTGAGTTTTTGTAAAAAAAAAAAAAAAAAAAAACACGGACGCGAAGTCGAGCCTTAGGCCAGAGAACAGTCACTGACCCGGAGCTCGACAACAACAGGAGAGGGTTCACTCGGCTGAGAACTGTGAGTTTATCACGGAAAGAGGATTTCTCTTTCTGCTCTTTTTGTACCGTGTGGATTATTGTTTCTGTTGAAAAGAGATACAAAGACACGAGTGAAAGTGGTTTCTGCATGTTTCTGACTGGCGATGCAGAGAGTAGCAATTATACGTGCGTTTCTGAAACATTGTATCATTAATATCTCATTTGGACTGTTTTCTACCGGGACAACCGATTATATTCAGTCTGGTGTTGCATCAAACGGTTTAAGTTAAACAGTTGGCCGTGGATCTATCGTGGACTTTGCGGTTAAATGCACGGGAAACGAACACCAGGATTCGCTTGCATTGTTTTGTGTGAACTGGGCGTTTGAGTGCGGGTTTGTTTCAGCTTCTGTCGGACTCTTCTTTGTGTTCAGATCCACAAAAGCGCCCGATCGGAAGAAAAGGTGCTCCCGGTTACAGCCCGGGACGTTTTATGTTTGGACTCTGTTTGTAAGCACAGTAATAGTATCAAAATCGAAAGAAAGTGTTTGTTCTGCAGTTTAGCCGTGTCTCGATAAAGTGATATTTAACGTAATGATTCACTTTTGCGAATCGATTCGTTTCATATCCCGCTTCGTTTGAGTCACCCTCCCAGGACCCAGAAGCTTTGTATTTCTAACCTTTTTTTTTTTTTTTTTTTTATTGAACTATTTTTAATTGTTATTTTGACATGTTTTTGTGCTTATGATTCCAACATGTCACCCGCCTCACGCTCGCAGTCAAGCAATGTACTAATAGGCAGCGAATCGAATCGTAGATTGAAAGGATCCGGTTCAAAAGAATGATTCGTTGGCCATTCGAGCATCGCTAGTAATACTTATTCACTGGATGCTGTTACATTTAGTGTTGATTATAATTCAATGCAAGTAATGTGAAAGTAATATAACACATTTCCACAACCCATAAATGTAACTTTGGGTGATATGAATTTATTTTTTAATTGTATACGTTTTCCTCGAAACTGAACTCTTAATGCATAATTTTTGCATTTGACCTTAGTGATTTCAATCTTATACGTGCATAGATTTAAATCAAACTCGTATTTTTCAGTGCACTTACGGTTTAGAAGTGATTTGTCATTGTTTGCGTTTCGCTCTCAAGCAACACCTCAATAACGAATGCTCGTACTAGATACCCTTTTATTAGGGTTTTTGTTGTATAAACTTTTTACCTGTATACAGAAATCAATTTTCTTCTTAATTTTGTTAGTTGTATTTAGTTTACTGTGTCACGTCGAGCGCGGTCGCATGAAGGCCCGAAAGCCTCGGACTCTCCTAAGCGCGGGTGCCGTAGGTGTCGCGCATGTCACGCGGCGGTGATTGACGCCGCCAGTCCGAGGCTTTGAGGCCCGTGCGGTGCGATGAGCTCAGATGTCTCATGCGCCGTCTCCTAGGAGACTGTAACCCGAGAACTAGATTAAAACACTCAATGGACGCTCATTTTAAAACATTTTGACCTTACATTTTGATCAATATGTTTTCATCCTTCATAAACGAAAGTGCAGTGTTGTTGACTTTTTAGGCTTCATTTAGTGCCTGTAATGTGTCTTGTGGCACCAGAGCATGTGTGTTTGTTCAACTGTGTTGATGTTTAAATAGGTCAGTTGAGACCTGGAATAATAAGTAACTATATCCAACCAGAATACACACCTGGGACCGGTGTCTTCGTTCATAAATCACAGTTGCCACGCCTAACCTTCACACACGAATTACTGCAGCTGCCGAACGCATCCACACTGAATACCAGATGAACTTCTGCGGCTTTAAACTGTGGTGCAAAACCTAGTCGTGCTGTCCTGGATTCATATTCAGTGTCTTGTAGGATGTGGAAGGACGCTTGTGTTGGTATCATGGACCTCTTGAGATTGTGAGGTCTGTCTGCTAACTTAACATGTCTCATGTAGCTGTGCAGATTTAATGTATTTAGTTGTTATGCACAGTCATTATCAAGTACCAAGCTTTACTTCTGTGCATGATATTGTTCTGACATTAGTTTTCTCTTCTAAAACGGGAATATTCACACTCTTGTCCATCCTATTATCTATTGGTCATGACATAGGCTAATAATGAGCCAACATTTCTACATTGATTTATCTTGTCTGTATGTTTTTTTGTGTGTGTCAGATTGTTCCACTATCACACCTGTAGCTGAAGCGTTTACGAGCATTTCCCACACAAACACGAAAGTATTCATAGCTCTGGCCCAGGTGTGGTCACATTAGTGACATTTCATGAGCAAAAATGCTCCATTGTTTATAATCTAGCAGCTTTCTGTTTGGTTAATGTGGTGAATTCGCTCAATCAACTTGAACTGTTGTGAAATCTGCGTGGGGAACTTTTAAGGCTTTCGTTCATCTTCTGAACACAAATGAAGTTATTTTTGATAACCTCCATTGACAGTCTACGTAACTACCACTTTCCAGTCCCAGCCAGGTAAAGACATCATTAAAGTAATCCATGTGACTCCAGTGGTTTAACCTTGAAAGTGGCAGTGGTGTTACTGTCTGTGGAGGGGCAGAAATATCTCTGATTTCAGCAAAAACATCTTCATTTGTGTTCAGAAGATGAAGGAAAGTCTTACGGGTGTAGAACGACATGAGGGGGAGTGGTGACTTTCATTTTTGGGTGATCTAACCCTTAAAGACTAAAACTAGTGAATATGAAAATGTCTAAAGTGGGAATCTTGAGGAACTTGATGTTTTGATTCACAATTCCACTTTTATAATTTCATGAACAATTCTTTCAGTACTTTTGATTAAGCCAGGCAAGTAATTACAATATTTTATGGTGAAAAAAAAGTCGTACTGGGTCAAAATTGCGTTATTGAAAGGAAAAAGAAAAGCTAAGGTGCATTGGTGTCCAAGTCGCATTTTATTAGCAGCATATTCAGAAATAATATAAAACATTGGTCGTACAAACATTATTAGTTCCCCTCACTCAACAAAAAATCCTTCAAATGTAATGTACAGAACAAGAATGAAAAGTATCAAATAAACATACATTATAGTTGTATTCCTCATAAACAACTTTTATTAAAAACACCAAGTTTAAATTGAATTAATGCAATTTATTCAGGGAAGGGAAATGCACTTTATTAACCTGCAAACAATTGACTTGTTGCATTAACTGATATTTATCTGAAATGGAAAAACCAAAAATAGTTTGATTTATCTTAGCAATGCAAGAACTGATATGTTGTGTGTGTGTGTGTGTGTGTGTGTTGCTCCTCCTCAGACTGATGGGTGACACATGCTCGGAATCCGTCCTGGACAAATGGTGTCTTATCAGCTCCGTAAACAACTCCTGACGGCCCACACACACTCAGCGTGTGTGTTTGTGCTTGAAGAAATGCTGTCTGTCTCGTCCCGTCTCACATGAGTCTTGTTAGGAGACAGAAATGTGAGCAGAAATAGACGCCGCAGTGCCGCCTCTAATTTAGATAATCGAATCGAGCTGTTACTTTACAGCGGGGAAAACAACTGCATAAAACCGTGCAAAAATAGACGGCTATTTCCTAATACTGTTTTAAGCTTCATACTTTCATATAGGGGTGTATGTGTAAAGGTCAGACGGCCATAGAAACACACACACACTCCCCCCGTCTGACCCGTCACACGTACCCTCGCATTCATTCCCATGGTAACACACAAGCTCAGTTGCTGTGGAGATGATAGGCGATGGCAGGGGAATGTGTGTGTGTGTGTGTGTGTGACTGAGTAATGGGGTTTTTATGGAGATGCCGAAGTGCAGGACGCTTTGGCGGAGCTTAGTTTAAAAAGTGTTTTAAATGTTCTTAAAGCATTACAGAAGTGTGTTAATGTCACGTGTTCGCCTCACTAACATACTTTAAGTCTTTTTTTAAATGATTAGGAATTGCGATTATGTACGTATATATTCCTGTGAGATGTTCGAACACAATGGGCATCATTCATTTCGTGAGCAGAACGAATTTCTTGTTGTTGCCTAAATTGTTGTGTTTAATTGAATGAGACGATTTAGGTGAGAATGATTTAAGAACAGTTTCCCCAGCTCATGTTTGAAGAATGAGGCCTGGCGTTTTACATGAAGGTCAAATGTGGGGTTTCGGGTCTGAATATGTGTAAATTAGGCCTGCGCGATATTGATGACAATATGTGTTAACTTTCCCTGATGTCTATTTAACATCTGTCGGGAAATGTTTTGGAAACGTATTGCAGATGAAAACTTGTGAAATGTCTCAGATGTGTGTGTGTGCTAATATAATATGCAATAACGTTTGAAATGTGTAAAATCAATATATTTTAGGGATGCACGATATCGGCCACCATATCGGTATCAGCCGATATATGTTCATTTTTAATGTTAGCGTTATCGGCACAATAAGAACATTTTGCCGATAAATAATGGATTATCTCCTTCGGCTGAGACACTTCAGATGCGCAGTGCGCACTGTTCAACATGATGGTTTTAATTGCTTGAAATATGATTGAAATTATTTCCAAAAAGGAAAATACTGTCAAGTAGGTTACAGTCATATCAGCTACATAAAATTATAATGAGAACATAATTGTGTGCTTGGGACGTGGCTTTAATTGGTGAGACTTGGTTTTGTAATCAGACTTTTAAAAAAAAATGTAAAAATGTAGATTTAGATTTATCGGCCAATATACCGATTATAGGCTTTCAAATACAAAGAGTTATCGGTTTTATTATCGGGCTATTATATTTCCTGGATTGTTTCCTCTTTGCTATCTGCAACATTCACATGTTTTGCATATAACTTGAGTCTTTTAGACCAAAAATACAAATATAATTGAGGTGCTATATTGTTTTGGCACTAAATTGTGGGGCTAAGTGTCTTATTAATAGCTGTACGTTTCCATGCAAAGTTGCAAAATTGTAATATCGCATATAATATTTGCAGAAAAAGCAGTGTTTCCATCCCATGTGTTCAAGAAAACAAAAATTGTCACTTCCTGGGAAACTGGTGCAAAATATCAGTAATAAAAAAGGAAGTTGCTGCAAGAAACGGTGGCTCTTTTCCTCCATCATAAACGAGTGTGTCTCAGAGCGTCAGACGAAACACAGCAAACGCTGTCGTGTTCTCCTGCGTTCGGATGCTGGTGTTCGGGAACACACTCGTGTGTGTGTGTGAGACGCTTCGGGAGGAGTTTGTGTGAGGAGATTTTGACTCGGGCGTTTCAGAGCCACCAAACCAGCGTTTGAGACGCTGCGATGCCATTGGTCCACTCGTTAGTCTGGTTATCCGATCACAAGCTCTGATGAGGCAAGAGTTTGTTGTTGCGCATCAAGAGATTTATCCCGTAAATGTGTTTCCATCATAGTCTTTTTTTATCAAGTGATATAATCAACTTCAGTTTTTAAATTTATGCAAATTTTTTGAATTTGCGTGCATCGGCTTTTCCGTCCAGTGTTTACCTGTCAAGAACCTAAACACAGCGTTTACGGTCTGAAATTAACCTATTAACCTATTTTATCAGATGATAGCCTACATTTATCCACTTCAATGTTTAACTGAAGTTTTTATGACAATTTTTACAAAGTGCATCGGCTTTTCCGTCCAGTGTTTTTTTACATTTATATATATATGTGTAATTGCAATTTTTGAATTTAATAAACTGTCATGAACCTAAACGCAGCGCTTCGGGTTTTTAAATGAAGCTGTGAGTGTGAGTGTCCTGTGTTGTGCCGCCGGTGTCCAGGATCTGGTAAAGCGTGTGTGTGTGTGTGTGTTCCCCCACAGGTCCGTCCTCTCCTCTCCGCCGGCCTCCAAGATAGATTCTCTCAGGAGTAAAGTGGAACTGCTGAAGCTGCCACTGTCTCTGTCGTCCAAATCCATCTCGGAGCGCAAGTCTCAGCTGGGAGGACCCACCGAGCGCTCCAGGGGCGGAGCTGGGGCCCACAAACCCCGCCCACCGGCCCCAGACATGGACAACGAGTCGCAGTACTCCGGATACTCCTACAAGTCTTCCCATTCACGCAGCTCTCGCAAGCACAGGTACACGCCAAACCCAGCGCCTTCATGGGGACTTGTTCGGAGTTAAAAGATGTAAAAGATAATTGTGACACTTTTTTGTCCTCAGAATTGGACGTTATAACTCGAGTTTACGGTATATCTGAGAGACAAAAGTCACAATTGCGGGATGTTAACTTGCAATTGCGAGAAAAGAAGTCAGAATTGTTAGTTGCAGTTACCTTTATTTTCATTCAGTGACGGAGACGAGCTTCCATAGTTTTTTGTGAGATTGAAATTGGTGAAATTTGAGTGGTATCAAACTTTGGTGATATAAAAACCTTATTCAAAGCAAAAATAACTACAGTATATTGTGATTTACACACACACACACATATATATGTATATGTATACAAACACACTATATCGGTCACCATATCGGTATCGACTGATATTTAAATTTTTAATGGTACATGCAAATCCCATCGTTTTTATGAGAGCTTTTTTGGAATTTAAAAAATATACAAGATAATTGCGACACTTTTTCCTCAGAATTGGACGTTATAACTTGATTTTATATCCGAGAAAAAAGTCAGAATTGTAAGATGTTAATTTTCAATAGCTCAGGAAAGAAGTGAGAATCGTTAGAGAGTTGCAATCACCCTTTTTTATTTTCATTCAGTGATGGAGACAAGCTTCCATAGTTTATTGTGATATTGAAAATGGTGAAATTTCAGTGGTATCAACCTTTGGTGATATAAAAACCTTATTTAAAGACCCACTCCGATGAAAATAATATTTTTCTAGGTGTTAACATGTTCTTGTGGCATTTTTCTGATGTTAGAGGACATATCTTGAGAAAAATAAGCTCAAAGTTGTATTTCTGAGTATTTCTACATTCAAATGGCTGTGAATCAGTAGCAGACGCTAAAATGCCGGCTAAAATAGACTGAAGTTGTGACATAGTAACTCCACTGGGCGTCTCCACACGCGACGTCTTGGAGTGAAATAATGATCGGTGATCGGTGATAACTATGATTAACTTCGGATAATAATAATTAACGTGTATATAATACTGTTGCCCCACCGGTATTGGGGATGTAAGCTAGCGGGAGAGACAGAGCTCTCAGCAACGGGCAGGGGGAGGGGCGTCTCCATGCCAACGGCTCCGCCCACAACGCAGAGGCGAATTGCTAATGAGCAACTGCCGCTCTGCTGAAGCGAAGTCCCAGAAAACGGCACAGGTTTTGTGATTTTGGCTAAAAATGGCATAATTATAATTTAAAGACCACTGGGAATGTTTAAAAATAGCTCAAAATATGATCGGAGTGGGACTTTAAAGCAAAAAAGAGCTCCAGTATATTATGATTATATACAGTTATCGTGAAATAAAGTAACTTGTACCTCAGAGGCTCCTCCTGTCCTGTGCCGTGTGAAGACGCTTGAGTGTGTCTGGTGTGAAGGCCTGTGTAATGTAGCGTGTGGTGTGTGTGTTTAGGGACCGGCGAGACCGACATCGCTCTAAGAGCCGAGACAGCAGCAGTCGAGCGGACAAGTCCGTCACCATCCAGGCCCCCGGAGAGCCCCTGCTGGACGCCGAGTCCACGCGCGGAGACGACCGGGTCAGTGCACGCTAACGTGTGTGTGTGTGTGTGTTTGCAGAGAGTAAGGGGATAAGCTAGGGATCTGTATTTATTTTTTGTACAGCACTTTGGTCATTCGGTTGTTTTTAATGGTGCAAAAATGTTATTGTTCCTTGAAACAGACTTTATTTTCTTCATGCTAAATATAATTTGATTTTAATTGGCACTGTTTTCGGCGTCAGTGCACTTGCTGGATTGAGATCAGTAGCAGTTTAGCACCAACATGGACAAAAAGTGCAATAAAGAACCATAACATCAGTCCATATGACTATTAATATTTTGAATTTGCTAAATTTTCAGCTTTGATTTTTATTTTCAACGTTGATTTTTAGTACTTAGAACCTAAACTTACTTTTATTTCAGTTAGGTGGCAACATTTACATTTCAATTTAATTGAATTTTCATAGAATATTTATAATTTTACTTTATTTCAGTTTCAATTAGTGGATGTGATTTTTATATATATAATTTTATTTGTATTTTTTTTTAAAGTTAACAATAACTACTGTTGCATGTAACTCAATCCAGTGTTATTAATATTTTAATAATCTTTTATTTAGTTACACCCTTGCCTCATTTAGTATACACTGTTCTATGAATATGCAAATGAGCCCCGCCTCCACTCACTCACTCAGCTCAGAGATCCACTGGTTGACGATCACACGTTGATCTGATTGGTTACAAGGTAGTTTGTGACGTCAGAAACACGAGGGATTTCAAACCCTGTCTTTGGTTCACTGCAGTTTTAAGGAGAAAATACTCAGCAATGCTGTCGACTTATGAATTTGCACATGATTTGTCTTAATTAAAGCACATTAAAAACACCACATAGACATATAAACAACATTAAAAGCTGGATTTCACCTCAGGGGGACTTTAACGATATTCCAAGTCTTCTTTATTGTGACTCACAGACTCTCTTGATTCTCCATCAGGATGAGAACTGGGGCATGACCAGTGTTGAGTTATGAATTTGCATATCTTACAGCATATTTAAAAACACCACATAGATATATATAAAAAAAAAAAAAATACATTTTAAAAGCTTGATTTTCACCACAGGGGGACTTTAACGATATTCCAAGTCTTATAGTACCAGCCTCGCTCCTCTCAGTCTCTTACTGTCACTCACAGACTCTCTCTTGATTCCCCGGCAGGATGATAACTGGGGCGAGACCACGACCGTGGTGACCGGGACGTCCGAGCACAGCGTCTCGAATGAAGACCTCACGCGGGCGTCGAAAGAGCTCGAGGACTCTTCGCCCCTGGAGTGCCGGCGTTTCGCGGGGCCCGTCCTGAGTGGCATCCTGGGGCTGTTTGCGCTCCTGACGCCCCTGGCCTTCCTCCTGCTGCCCCAGCTGCTGTGGCGCGACTCCCTGGACCCCTGCGGGACGCCCTGCGAGGGCCTGTACGTGTCCCTGGCCTTCAAGCTGCTGGTGCTCCTCATCTCGTCCTGGGCTCTGTTCCTGCGGCCTCCGCGCGCCACGCTCCCGCGCTTCTTCGTCTTCCGCTGCCTGCTGATGGCGCTGGTCTTCCTCTTCGTGGCGTCCTACTGGCTGTTCTACGGCGTGAGGGTGCTGGAGCCCCGAGAGCGTGATTACAGGGGCATCGTGGGATACGCCGTGTCGCTGGTGGACGCGCTGCTGTTCATCCAGTACTTGGCGCTCGTGCTCCTGGAGGTGAGGCACCTCAGGCCGGCTTTCTGCCTCAAAGTGGTGCGCACCACCGACGGAGCCAGCCGCTTCTACAACGTGGGACACCTCAGGTGAGACGGGCCAGAACTCACTCTACATGTTACAGATCATTGCACAGTATCTTCATTTACTATTATTATTATTAGTATTCCTTTATTATTAGGGATGCACCAATATGAAAATTTTGGCCGATAACTCTTTATATATGAAAGCCCATAACTGATATATTGGCTGATAAATCTAAATCCAAATTTGTATATAATTTTTGAGAGACTGATACAAAAATAAGTCTCACCATTAAAATCCACGTCCCAAGCACACAATTATGTTCTCATTATAATTTTTTTGTAGCCGATATGACAGATTTGGATGTTGCACTTTACTGTATTTTAATTTTTTTAAGTGATTTCAATCATATTTCAAGCAATTCAGAAGCATCATGTTGAACAGTGTCTCAGCTGAAGGAGACAATCCATATTTATCGGCTTTAATACATCGGACAAATGTTCTTATTGGGCCGATAACATTATAAACATACATATATCGTGCATTCTTAAAATTCAATACAACACATCAAAACCCATTCCCTGTCGCATGAGAAGTTAAGTGTTATTAACATCAGTGTAAACCACAGGGTTCAGCTTATCCTACATTAGGATTATTTTACAACAGAAACTGAATAATCAAATGTAAAAGTAAAACACCGCTTAGTTTTTTTTCTGTATGAATTAAATATATACTGATTCTTATTAAAGCTAAAGTTATTCAGCCGAGAGCAGCGAGTGATTCTCTCTGTCTTTTGCTCATGACCCGTTATTGCGATTTACACATTTGCAATATTTCGATATATTGTGCAGCCCTGTTGTGAACAGTGTGTGTGTGTGTTGTCAGTATCCAGCGAGCAGCGGTGTGGGTCCTGGATCACTACTACACTGATTTCTCCGTCTACAACCCTGCTTTACTCAATCTCCCCAAGTCCATCCTGTCCAAGAAGATGTCTGGGTTTAAGGTCTACTCCCTGGGGGAAGGTGCGCCGCAGCTTTGCTATCTTTCTCCATTTCTTTTCCTTCCCAAAGTATCTGTTTCAAAATCCACTTTCTATCGATGGATGTGATTTGTGTTTGTGTTTGATTGTCCACTGGATCTGACTGGTTGTTTTGCTCCCCAGAGAACAGCACTAATAACTCGACGGGACAGTCCCGCGCGATGATCGCCGCTGCCGCCCGCCGGAGAGACAACTCTCATAACGAGTATTACTACGAGGAGGCGGAGATGGACCGCAGGGTCCGCAAGCGCAAGGCCAGGTCAGAGTCCTGGAAAACACCAACACAACCGTCTCAAACATCTGGCTGAATCTCACAAAACACAAAAAGAAAAAAAATCATTATTATATACAATAATGATCTAATGATGAAAATATAAAACTTTGAATTAGTCAGAATGTAGATGGAAATATTCATGATTCCTCGATTAAGAAAGAATTGCAATTCACCCGTGTCGTATAACCGGTAAAATACCGACGAGAGTCCATGAACCGCATTATCACACCGTTTTCTAAGGCTACGCGATATATTAAACCCATTTACAATCATCATATAGCATAGTGCTATTGTGAAATCACAAAGGCTGCGATCCAGTTAAATAAATATATGCACAGTTTTGTTTTTTTCGCACAGAGAAGCACAACGCTTTACATATTTACATGTGTGGTTTGCATGTTTTTTACATGTTTACGGTGATGATCACTGCGGCATGAGCAAATTCTGCAGGCATTTGTTATAATACATAAAGTACATAAGTTATGTTTTTTTTATTACCACAATTTTTTATCTGATTAATCTGTGACTACTAAAACTACTCGATAGCTGCAGCCCTAGATGGAAAGTGTTTAAACTAGGGCTGTCAAACGATTAATCACGATTAATCGCATCCAAAATAAAAGTTTGTGTTTACATAATATATGTGTGTGTACTGTGTATAATTATTTTGTATATAAATGCACACATGTATATATTTAAGAAAAATATGTTATTTATATATAAAATGTTTATATTTATATAAAATATACATTATATATAGGCTACATTCAGTCTATATACAGTATATACATGCAAATATTTATTAAATACACATGCATGTGTGGGTATTTATGTATTAAAAATAATTATACACAGTACACATGCATATATTATGTAAACACAAACTTTTATTTTGGATGCGATTAATCGTTTGACAGCCCTAGTTTAAACATAATAAAAGTAATCAAAGCATAGATGTGTTTTTCTTTAGGGATGCACCGATACGAACATTGTGTCCGATAACTGATATATTGGCCGTTAAATCTAAATGCAAATGTTTATGTATTTTGAGCTTTTTTGACCTGAGGATGTTTTCATGAGGTTCATTTATGTTCTGCATGTTAAAGGGATAGTTCAGACACAAATGAAAATCAGCCCATGATTTACTCTCCCTGAAGCCATCCTAGTGTATATGACTTTCTTCTCTCAGACGAACACAATCTGAGTTATATTAAACATGTCCTGGCTCTTCCCAGCTTTATAATGGCAGTGAATGTTTTTTTTTTTTTTTGAAGTCCATCAAATCGCATCCATCCGTGATTAAAGTGCTCCACACGACTCCAGGGTTTATAAAGGCCTTCTGAAGCGAACCGATGCGTTCGTGTAAGAAAAATATGGTAACACTTTATTTTACAGTGTCCTTGTTACATGTGCTTACCATAGTAATAACAGTAAGTTATGCATAATTACATGCAACTAACCCTCAACCTAATCCTATAGTAAGTACATGTAGTCAATTAATATCACTCAGTACCAGTGTCTTTTTAAATAAATTAACTCCGTTACCGTTACCATATGGTGCGTTGTCCATTACTTTTTTAATTAATTCATTTTGGCTGAAGTGTAGCCTACAGCCTAACCTGTTTACAGCAGCGAGGCATTGTTGGTGGTAGGGTTGCCACCCGTCCCTTAAAATACGGAATTGTCTCGTATTTACAAGTAAAATGATGCGTCCGTATCAAATTAAGGGACGCGATTTGTCCCGTATTTTACATAAGGCCCACACATAGCCTAGTTGGATAAAAACATAGGCTTTACTATACTAATAGCTAATAGCAAATAGCCTATAAATAAATAAATTTCACAATAATGTTACATTATGATTAGAATCAAATGAATTTTGTCCATTTTCTAAGCTTAGAAAATGCACATTTATACGGGCTGAATTTTATGGGCCTAAAATAAATAGTGTTTAGTAATTATGTGAATTACACTGCGCAAACTACTACCCACCGAATGAAGAAGGGTTGGCTCTCAGTCTCCACAGAACAAAATGTTCATTTTATTTTATTTTTAGTGTTCACATTTATGAGGAAAAAATGTTACGGACGTGACCGCTCTCCGTTACGGACGTGAGCGATCTGAAAGCGGCACTAAAAGATGCTTTAATACTTGCAGAGACCTCAAACAGAAAGCACAAAACCTTTCTTTAAAGTGAATTTCATTTTGTATTAATTGTATCTTAATTTTAATCAATGTTTCATAAACCAATTGCCTGGATTTAATAAATAAGAAGTAAATATAGCAGACGATAGATAATCACGAAATGGAGGCGCCGGTGCGTGAACTGGAGCTCGTCTCATAAATGAACCGAAACTTGCCTCACAGACATGTCTACTTTTAAACAGAACAATTCAAAACGTAAGAAAACAGACTACAGACTACACTCTGCTTATGTAATCCATATGAAATGTGCATTTCTCTCTGCGAAGATCGCGAGTCGTAGCGAGTCGCCTCAGAAATCCTTGTGATATATTCAGTTTGTGCTGGTCTGACTCAAATAAAATAGTGTTTAAAAATTACTTTCTGTTTAAGTTAGTTTCGTGTTTGTATAGACCATAACGCATAAAAGGGCATTAATGGGAACATTAAATAATGTTTTTTTTTAAAGTAACTAAAAAGTTAGTTTTAACAGTAACGCATTACTTTTTGGTGTAAGTAATCAACAAAGTAATTGAGTTACTTTTTGAACGAAGTAACTAGTATCTGTAACTAGTTACTATTTCTTAGTAACTAGCACAACACTGCTCAGTACTTACATGTATAATTACACTGTAACAATGACACTTTAAAATAAAGTATAACTATAACTTTACCGACTAAAATAACTAGCTTTATTAACCCCTGGAGTCGTGTGGAGCACTTTAATCACGGATGGATGCGATTTGATGGACTTCCAAAAAAAAAAAAAACATTCACTGCCATTATAAAGCTGGGAAGAGCCAGGACATGTTTAATATAACTGGGATTGTGTTCGTCTGAGAGAAGAGTGTCATATACACCTAGGATGGCTTCAGGGTGAGTAAATCATGGGCTGATTTTAATGTGTGGCTGAACTATCCCTGTAATCTGGTGTGTGGAGAGCGCGCTCACAGTGCTGTTCCTCCTCCAGGCTGGTGGTGGCGGTCGAGGAGGCGTTCACTCATATCAAGCGGCTCCAGGACGACGAGGTGGCGGCGTCCCCCAAACACCCGCGCGAGGTGATGGACCCCCGGGAGGCGGCGCAGGCCATCTTCGCCCCCATGGCCCGGGCCATGCAGAAGTACCTGCGCACGACCCGCCAGCAGCCCTACCACAGCATGGAGAGCATCATCGCACACCTGCAGTTCTGCATCACACACAACATGACGCCCAAGGTGACTGACCCAGACATACACACTCCTGCCTGCATCTGCACGCAATACTCACACCACTTAGTATCTCACAATAGTTGCTATATACAGTAGTCAACGTTTGAAGTGGATCTAAAAAGTTGATCAAGACAAGAACGGGTCTTGTTTAATATTCCTGTGTAACTTTGATGAAAGGTTCTGATCCAGTTCAGATGTTGACTCACTTCACTGAGGACTATCTCACAATGCCATCGTCTCAACATGACCTTCCAATGCTAGTGAAGAATGAACCGGGAGGAACATTAAAGGGATAGTTCACTTATTAAATGAAACCTCTGTCAGTAATTACTCTCCCTCATGTTGTTCAACCCCGTAAGACTTTCCTTCATCTTCACAACACAAATTAAGATATTTTTGATGAAATCTGAGAGCTGGATCACTCCTCCATAGGCTTCTAGGTAATCTGCCGGCCAAGAAAAGTTAGTAAAGACATTGTTAAAGACTACAGTGGCTCAACCTTAAGTTTATCAAGCGACGATGAAAATACTTTTTGTGCACAAAAACAAACAAAAATAACGAACTGAGAAGAACTCACCAACATGCTTCAAAATATCTTCTTTTGTGATCAGCAGAAGAAACTCGTACAGGTTTGAAACGCCTTGAGGGCGAGTAAATGATGACACAATTTGTATTAAGTGAACTATTCCTTTAATATGATTTTCTGCATCTCTTTCTTGACTCTTTTATTTTAGTTTTCATTTGTAACTGCCAAAACTTAAGACATTGTTCCGCTAAATTGGATTAAAATACAAAATAACTGATAACTACTATGCATGTATTTCCTTTGAGTAGTATTTTCAGTACTGCTATTCAAATTGTAATATGTTGTTCAGCATTGCATAGGAAATGGCTTTCTTTGATTGAAACCTTTCCTGAAAAATAATTTCAACAATTAATTGTTTTGTCAAAAACATCTTATAAATCATATTTAAATTATAAAAATAAATGTAAAGAATATAATTTTATATATATATATATTAGAGATGCACCGATTGATCGGCTGGTGACCGGAATCGGCCGATTTTCACGTGATCGGCGACCGGCCGGTCAGTCATGCCGGTTTTATGCCGGTCAAATGCACTCGGGCGCCGCATGATTAACATTTGGCAACATCAGCATCACACGTGCACACGAAACACACATGTAGGAAACCTCGTGAATTACGACCGTTTCACACCGCAAGCTGAGCAGCGGGTTTTTTTTTTCTTCGGCGTGCATGTTAATCAATGAGTGCATTCACACCGGGAGCCGGAGCAGCGCGTGAGCGTCAAGCAGGAGCAGCGCGTGAGCAACAGTGAAGCGCGGGTTTCGGCGCCGAGTCTATTCTCCTCGCGCTCAATTAAAGTGAAAGCATACTTTTGATGGACAAAATAAATATGATTTCACCCCAAAATGCACAGAATTTGCACGTCTGGTGTGTTTTAACAAGAACTGAAGTAGCCAGGCTATGTCAGAAAAGAAAATTAAGACTCAAAAATATTTATAGAAAATAACTTGTTTTTATTCCCAATCGTTTCCCTGCACATACTCCACTTTTCCTGTTTATCTTGGCTGGACATGTGTCAGAGAGAAGAACTGTTTGAGAAATATAACTTGCCATTGATGTACAAGTGATTGCAATAGGCCTGTTTGTGTGTATTTATATATTATTTTATTGTCATTACCTGTTTTCATACAAAAGTTTAGGTTGCTAAATATATCAATTTTTTTTAGTTGGATATTGGATGTGAAAAGGAAATGGTTCTTCCATAACACTGCACTTTAGATGTGTGTGGATTTCCCACACCAGGAGTAATTTAAATAGTCCTATTTTATAGCGATTATCTGTTCAAAAAATGTTCTATGCAAAATGTTCTATTAAAGAGAAGATAGAAAATAAATATTTGTGTGTGCTGTAAAGTGGTTTAAAAAAATGAAATCGGAATCGGCTAAAATCGGTATCGGCAGGTCAAACTCAAGAAAAATCGGAAATCGGATCGGCCTAGAAAATTGTAATCGGTGCATCTCTAATATATATATATATATATATATATATATATATATATATATTATTATTAATTTAAATGAATAAATCATTCTAAAAAAATTTTTTTTATCTAATTGTTTTCATCTGTTATTTTACACAAACGTGTCCTTTTCCTAATTAAACTAATTTTATCTTTTTTTTTTTTTTTTTTTTTTTTACTTGTGTATATGGATATTATGTCCACTTTTTGTTGTTTAACAATGATGAATGCATAAGGAAAAGTGTATATTTTAAGTGCCTTGTTAAATTTTTTCATCAGCTTTTTCCATCACTTGTTTATTTTAAGTGTGGTTTAAGAAATTAAAGAACTAAAGTACATTTAGATGCAGTATAGCATGCAAATCAACATGCAAAATGTATTTTTTATATATATATATATATATATATATATATATATGTGTATTATTATTATTATTATTATTAAACTAATCATTTGGATGAATTTAAATGAATAAATAAATACATTACATTTTTTAAAATTAATTTAACTAATATTATCATCTGTTATTTTCATTTAGCATTTTGCCAGTGCAAACTTTATCACTTTTTTTGTGTATGTATACAGTCGTGCCCAGAATTAATCATACCCCTGGTAAATATGATCAAAAATGGCTGTAAAAAATAAATCTGCATCGTTTATCCTTTTGATCTTTCATTAAAAAAATTGGCAAAATCCTAACCTTTCGTTTAAGTAAAAGAATTGAAAGTGGGGGGGAAATCACATTATAAAATAAATGTTTTTCTCCAAAACACGTTGGCCACAATTATTCATACCCTTTTATTAAATACCTTTTTGCAATCTCCTTTTGCCAAGATAACAGCTCTGAGTTTTCTCCTATAATGCCTGATGAGTTTGGAGAACACCTGACCTGAGATCAGAGACCATTCCTCCATACAGACTCTCTCCAGATCCTGCAGATTCCCAGATCCATGTTGGTGCTTCTTCTCTTCAGTTCTGCACTCATCAGGTCAGGGACTGGGACGGTCATGGCAGAAGCTTCATTTTGTGCTCCCTAACACATTTTTGTGTTGATTTTGATGTTTGTTTTGGATTGCTGTCCTGATGGGAGATCCAACCACGGCCCATTATAAGATTTCTAGCAGAAGGCGTCAGGTTTTGATTTTTTATCTGTTGATATTTGATAGAATCCACGATGCCATGTATCTGAACAAGAAGTCCAGGACCTCCAGCAGAAAAATATGCCCACAACATTAAAGATCCAACGGTTTATTAAATCGTACACATGGGGTACTTTTTATCCTTGTGTGCACCAAACCCATCTAGTGTGTTTGCTGCCAAAAAGCTCTTTTTTTAGTTTCATCTGATGATCTGACCACAGAAACCTTTTTTTTTTTTTGTGGCTTTCTGACCCCCAAGACTCAACTAGTCTCTGCAATTCTCCATCTGTGATCCTTGAAGAGTCTTTGGCCACTCAAACTTTCCTCTTCACCGTGCATTAAGGCAATATAGACACACGTCCTCTTCCTGGCAGATCCACAACATCTTTAGTTGATTTGAACTTCTTAATTATTGCCCTGATGATCAAAATGGGGATTTTCAATTCTTTAGCTATTTTCTTACATCCACTTTCTATTTTGTAATGCTCAACAATCTTTTGATGCACATCAGAACTATATTCTTTGGTTTTACTCATTGTGATGGATGATTAAGGGAATTTGGCCTTTGTGCTTCCTCATTTTTAAACTCCTGTGAAACAAGAAGTCATGGCTGGACAATTTCATGTTCCTAGTCACCCTGGTGTGCTAAAAAAGGTAAATATTAATGGGAATATCCTTCAGAGATATTTTATTAATAAAAAAAGTATAGGGGTATGAATAATTGTGGCCAACGTATTTTGGAGAAAAACATTTATTTTATAATGTGATTTCCCCCCCCCCCCCCCCCCCCCCCCAATTTCAATTCTTTTACTTCAATTAAAGGTTAGATTTTTGCCAATTTTTTTAATGAAAGATCAAAAGGATAAACGATGCAGATTTATTTTTTACAGCCATTTTTGATCATATTTACCAGGGGTATGATTAATTCTGAGCATGACTGTATATATATCTATACTATGGATATAGTTTAACAATGATGTATGTATAAGGAAAAGTGTATATTTTATGTCTCGTTACTGGTGAACATTTCATATTTTTCAAAAAAAAAAAAAAGAAAATCCATCACTGGATAATTTTAAGTGTGATGTAAGAAATGGTTCCAGTACAAAGAGTTAGCAAATAAATGCTGTTTAAAGTACACTTGGATGCAGTATAGCCTGCAAATCAACATGCACTTTAATTAGTCCCGTCCCTCTGGTGTTTAAATCCCTCGTCCCTCTGTCCACCAGGCGTTCCTGGAGCGGTACCTGACCCCGGGCCCCACCATGCAGTACCAGCGTGAGAACGGCAGGGGGCGCCAGTGGACCCTGGTGAGCGAGGAGCCGGTGACCTCAGCGCTGCGGCAGGGCCTCGTGTTCTCCCTGCGCCGCCTCGACTTCGCCCTGGTCGTCACGGTGACGCCCCTCCCCTTCTTCAACCTGGGGGAGGAGTTCATCGACCCCAAGAGCCACAAGTTCGTGATGCGGCTCCAGTCAGAGACCTCTGTGTGAGGGGTCAGAGAGACAGAGACAGAGGGACACAACCACTCCACTTTCTTTCTAGATATCACTTTTAAACGACTGTTTGTATGTTTTTTTATACACTACATGAACTCCTTCGACCTAGAGACCGTCCGGATGACTCTCGGCGGACTAACTCTTCTGCGTTTCAGCTGTGAATAATGATCAAATACAGTTCCCAAATCAGTCTCTGAGACACACCAGCAACTACACACACACAGGTTTATCCTTCAAAGCCCATGACAAGTGATGGAAACACTATACGATTGTAGCTGATCAACGCGGAGAAATCAAGTGCTTTACTATTGAATGATTGTGGATCAGAAGCACATGAGACGCATGTTTGTAACTCTACTCGTCGTGAATGTTTTTAAGATGTCGTATGTTTTTGCAGTACTTTATTCTTCATCCTAATGAATCGAGGGGCCTTTATATCATCCGTTTACATCGTTCTGTTCACCAGCAAACCCATGTCCGTTCCCTAGAGCGCGGCTTTCTTCCAAACACACTCGTGGTTTTGCTCTCTTTGGTGTGTACGTCTGTCATGACCAATCAAATGTGTGACCTTTACGTAAAATGCAAAAACATGAATGTGTGCCAATCGTTGTGCCTGCAGAGCTATGCACACACACACACACACATACTCGAATGACCTCGTCCATCCCGTCTCCTCAGTCGACGTCCAGCTTTGGGTCATGTGGTTTCCCACACCCTGTACATAACTCACTCTGCTCTCACACACACTTGTGGACGTCAGTGAAAGAGGAAGTTGACATGATGTAGGTGGTTATGATTTTCAGAACTGACCGTTTCGTTTTTAGGCCTGATGCATGGATACAGGCGATGCAGTTTTGTACTCTTGTTTTTTTTTACTTTTTATCATTTTGTATGAAAGTTAAGCTAATCTTTTAACATTTTCCCTTTAAAAAAATGGTTTGTTGTAAAGAGATTTGTAGATTTTTTTTTGGTTATTGTGTGAAAACATTTTTGGCAGTTGATGATTTCCGAACTAAAACTGTTGCAGCCTTTTTTTTTTAATAAAAGATCAACTCGACTCTACTTTGAAGAGTTTGGCTCATGGTGTGATATGTAGGTTATTGTCTGATGACTCTTGTGGTTATAGATCAGTGGGTGTAAAAAGTCCCCTCGCCCTAGTTTTGGTTTCAAAGCGTATTTGAGTCTAGATCTCATTGGCTCGCTGCCACTTACACTACTCGCCTATCGTCCACACCGTTGGTTTGCTTTTTTATAAGAATAAAAAGCATTTAGTTAATTTGGACAATGGACGTTACCGCTATAAACTGAAAGCCTTCAGATTTCGCTCGTCATGTGACGAGAGTAAGGCGAGATGACTGACAAGACAGTGGCGGGGGATTTGGTTCGCCACAGACCCTGAGCATCATTGAGATCTCATCTAAAGCGTGCGGTCAAAACCACTAATACGTGTACATGTGATCGCGAATTTAAAAGTGAAAAGCATTCATAAACTGGTATTTTATATAGCCTGCTGGTGTGAACAATTTCTCCCCATGACCACTAATATCTTTAAAAAAAATAATAATTAAAAATAAACCTTATGATCCCAGAAGAAACTTTTTTTTTTTTTTTTATCAGTGAATTTACTTCCGTTTTTTTTTTTTTTTTTTTTTACTTGGTGAGGATTTTTTTAATGTTCTTAATTAAATTACTACCGAATAAAAATATTTTAGGTGCTGTTTACATGACACCATTTTCAACTAAAAATGGAAAACTTTTTATGCGTGTTTTTGTCCGTTCATCAGAAATCACACTTTTAAAATATGGCTTCTTCATATATTCAGGTTTATATATTTTCTCGTGTTGTTTGAGTCATCATGACCTGTGCTCTTCCCAGTCTTTAAAGGTCATATGATATTGTTTGCATGCACTCAAGTATAGTTCCTCATATATTTCTGTTTTTTTTACTGTTTTTATGAGCACAACAGATATCATTTACAGTTATTGCAAACACGTTCTCCGAAACATCTTCACAGGTTTGGGTGAGGGTGAGTAAATTGTGCCAAATGCTGGAAAAAAAAGATTGTCATAAGACTAATGCGCAGGCTAAAGGTCGAGGTCAAAGTGTCAGTAGAGGCGTTAGGTGTCAGTAGGCGTTAGGTGTCAGTAACACGTAAGTTGTGAAAAACGCGTGATGAATAGGAAGTGTCGCTTCGGGGGTTTTAGGCCTGTTTTTTATGCTTGACAAATGCACATTTGCCAGAGTCACGCCTGATTTCAAAATGTTGTAATGTCCATTGTAGGGATGATCTCGGTTTTCTTCACTAAAAAAGTCCACCAAAACTTAACGCTCCCTAGCATTTAATTTTTGTCAGTTACAAGATAAGAAGTTGGGAGGAAACACGTGTTCTGCTGTTCACTTCCCCATTGTCTTTCAGTGTTGTTAGTCGGAGGACTCTCAAGGTCTCAGTCGACTGTGTTTTGGATTAGGATTCACTATCTCTGGGCCGGCGTGAAGGAAGGCCAACGGCTTCGACGTCAATAACCTGTAGATTTACATCGACAAGCCAACGAGCAATGAGTCCATGGAGAATCCTGCTACTCTGTGCCGTGTGTATTCATCAAGGTGAGCTCACTGGATTTCACTTTCATATTGTTGTGTCGTGTAGAGTTTGTTGAGTGGATGTTACATCGTTTCGGCAAGATTGTTAAAGATTTTTTTGTTTAAAAATAGTTTTTTCAATGAGAAATAAAGTGATTCTAAATTCTGCTTCATTGATAACAGGGTGTTTCCCTTTCCTGTGAAGCAACAACAAATTTTCTTTGCACATAGTGTGTTCACATACATGCACTTATCTGTGTTCGTTTTTGCAGTGTGCGGTAGAGAGGAACCTATTACTGGTTACCTCGGCCAATCAGTCGTCTTGAAAACTGGTGCAGACGCATCATGGACCCTCACCAAAGTTCACTGGTCCATTTATACAAACACAACATTCATTGCAAGTCTAAAGGATGGTAATGTGACTTTATATCCTTTTTGGACACATCGTGGTCGGCTTGAGCTCGACAACAAAACGGGAGATTTGACAATAAAAAATTTGACTATGGACGACAGCATGATCTACACTGTGACCCTGGTCTCCTCCAATGATGTTCGAAACAACACTGAATTTCAACTCACAGTCCGAGGTAAGGAAGATATTTTAATATAACAGTCTTCAGGATAGTAAACGATATATTAACAGTCAAAAAATGAAGCGTTCCAAAAAGAGATGCCGTAGAAGAACCATTTTTGATTCTGCAAATAACCGTTCAGGCGTCAGTTCTTAAAATAACTATGTATTCACTGTGCATTTTAACAATCCAAAGAACCTTTTTCCACTATAAAGAAGCTTTTTGGCATTGGAAAGGTTCATTGGATGGTAAAGGTTCTTCATGGAACCATATATACCAAATAAACCTTTATTTTTAAGAGTGATTATATCACTTATTCAATCTGGCTGAAAGTCATTATGTTTGTCCCCAACTGCAGAACGACTCAATGAACCGGAGATCCAGAAAATGCTTGATTCCCTCAAAGACGGCCAATGCCACGTGGCCCTTAATTGCACTGCGTCTCACCAAAATGTGAATCTGTCCTGGACTCCCGACGGAGAGTTCAACGGATTGTATATTTCTGGAAACGCCGTCGGCTCTTCGTTGGTTCTTTTTACGTCATTCAGTGGAGACCGAAACGTGACGTTCAACTGCACCGCCTCCAATGGTCAACAGACAGAGACCAAACAAATCACAGTGGGATGTTCAGGTCAGTCTCATTAACAGAACCAAACACTGTGAGGAGGGTTTACATTTATCAAAGATGCTGCATAATATGTATGTTTAGTGTCAGGGCTTCAAAACACAAACACGTATGCCAAGTTGACCCGCACATTGATTTATAGACGATATCACAGAAGGGTTGCAGGAAAGTGTAAAAACTATGTTAAACAAAGTATACTTTGGTTTTTACGTGCACGCATGTGTACACATACAATGTGCTTGAGGTAAATATCATGTAGAGTTGTGTCAAAAGTACCAACTTCGGTACGAAGTCGGTCCTGAAATTTAAAAAATGTGACGATACCACAATTTCCCTTTTGCATTTTGAGTTTTGAACGGATTCTTAAACACCTCTGATTGGTCATTGTGTTGACGCCCTCAACATATGTCTCTGATTTGCCATTGTGTTGATGCCCTCAACATATATGTCTCTGATTGGCCATTGTGTTGATGCCCTCAACATATATGTCTCTGATTTGCCATTGTGTTGATGCCCTCAACATATATGTCTCTGATTGGCCATTGTGTTGACGCCCTCAACATATATGTCTCCGATTGGCCATTGTGTTGATGCCCTCAACATGTATGTCTCTGATTGGCCATTGTGTTGACGCCCACAACATATATGTCTCCGATTGGCCATTGTGTTGATGCCCTCAACATATATGTCTCTGATTGGCCACTGTGTTGATGCCCACAACATATATGTCTCTGATTGGCCACTGTGTCGACACTCAACATATATGTCTGTGATTGGCCATTGTGTTGATGCCCTCAACATATATGTCTCTGATTGGCCATTGTGTTGACACACTCAACATATATGTCTCTGATTGGCCACTGTGTCGACACACTCAACATATATGTCTCTGATTGGCCATTGTGTCGACACACTCAACATATATGTCTGTGATTGGCCATTGTGTTGATGCCCTCAACATATATGTCTGTGATTGGCCACTGTGTCGACACACTCAACATATATGTCTGTGATTGGCCATTGTGTTGATGCCCTCAACATATATGTCTGTGATTGGCCATTGTGTTGACACACTCAACCTATATGTCTCTGATTGGCCATTGTGTCGGCACACTCAACATATATGTCTGTGATTGGCCATTGTGTTGATGCCCTCAACATATATGTCTGTGATTGGCCATTGTGTTGACACACTCAACATATGTCTCTGATTGGCCACTGTGTCGACACACTCAACAAATGCTTCTGATTGGCCATTGTGTCGACACACTCAACATATATGTCTCTGATTGGCCATTGTGTCGACACACTCAACATATATGTCTCTGATTGGCCACTGTGTCGACACACTCAACATATATGTCTGTGATTGGCCATTGTGTTGATGCCCTCAACATATATGTCTGTGATTGGCCATTGTGTTGACACACTCAACATATGTCTCTGATTGGCCACTGTGTCGACACACTCAACATATATGTCTCTGATTGGCCATTGTGTCGACACACTCAACATATATGTCTCTGATTGGCCATTGTGTCGACACACTCAACATATATGTCTCTGATTGGCCACTGTGTCGACACACTCAACATATGTCTGTGATAGGCCATTGTGTTGATGCCCTCAACATATATGTCTCTGATTGGCCACTGTGTCGACACACATTAACATATATGTCTCTGATTGGCCACTGTGTGGACACACTCAACATATATCTCCGATTGGCCATTGTGTTGATGCCCTCAACATATATGTCTGATTGGCCATTGTGTTGACGCCCTCAACATATATGTCTCTGATTGGCCATTGTGTTGACACACTCAACATATGTGTCTCTGATTGGCCACTGTGTTGACGCCCTCAACACATATGTCTCCGATTGGCCATTGTGTTGATGCCCTCAACACATATGTCTCCGATTGGCCATTGTGTCGACGCCCTCAACACATATGTCTCCGATTGGCCATTGTGTTGACGCCCTCAACACATATGTCTCCGATTGGCCATTGTGTTGACGCCCTCAATATATATATCTCTGATTGGCCACTGTGTCGACACACTCAACATATATGTCTCTGATTGGCCACTGTGTTGACGCCCTCAACACATATGTCTCCGATTGGCCATTGTGTTGATGCCCTCAACACATATGTCTCCGATTGGCCATTGTGTCGACGCCCTCAACACATATGTCTCCGATTGGCCATTGTGTCGACGCCCTCAACACATATGTCTCCGATTGGCCATTGTGTTGACGCCCTCAACACATATGTCTCCGATTGGCCATTGTGTTGATGCCCTCAACACATATGTCTCCGATTGGCCATTGTGTCGACGCCCTCAACACATATGTCTCCGATTGGCCATTGTGTTGACGCCTTCAACATATATGTCTCTGATTGGCCACTGTGTTGACGCCCTCAACACATGTCTCCGATTGGCCATTGTGTCGACGCCCTCAACATATATGTCTCTGATTGGCCATTGTGTTGATGCCCTCAACATATATGTCTCTGATTGGCCATTGTGTTGACACACTCAACATATATGTCTCTGATTGGCCACTGTGTTGACACACTCAACATACATGTCTCTGATTGGCCACTGTGTTGACACACTCAACATATATGTCTCTGATTGGCCACTGTGTCGACACCCTCAACATATATGTCTCTGATTGGCCACTGTGTTGACGCACTCAACATATATGTCTCTGATTGGCCACTGTGTTGACACCCTCAACATATATGTCTCTGATTGGCCACTGTGTCGAAACCCTCAACATATATGTCTCTGATTTGCCACTGTGTCGACACCCTCAACATATATGTCTCTGATTGGCCATTTTGTTGACACCCTCAACATATATGTCTGTGTTGACACACTCAACATATGTCTCTGATTGGCCATTGTGTTGACGCCCTCAACATATGTGTCTCTGATTGCCCATTGTGTTGACGCCCTCAACATATATGTCTCCGATTGGCCATTGTGTTGACGCCCTCAACATATGTGTCTGTAAATGGCTACCATAATCAACAATGACATCTTTGTCGCTCTTCACCAACCGCTTATATAGACACACACGCAAGGGTTTTTTAAAAGCAGGTGTCTATCAGCGGATCCCTCCAGTATCTATCCATGTAAGCACTCGATAAAGAGTGTCAAAGACCTCGTGTTTTGAAACGCTGATCATTGTAGCCAATCACAGACATTTATCTTGGGCCTGTTCAACAGTGCTCAAAATGGCATGACAAAATCATCACATTTTAAAAATTTCAGTACCGACTTGGTACCGAAGTCTATACTTTTTTGACAACTCTAATAAAGCTTTGATAGCAACGTGGGAACACTGGCCCGGGCCATTGTTTCACAGTCAACAAAAGAAACAGAAGACCAAAAAACAGACCCCACATTGTCAAGCACTTGTGTGAGAGGGCTAATGTCTCAATTTTTATGGAATATTGCTCTATTTGTTATTAATGATTAATCAGAGTCTATCATTATCTTTCTAAAAAGTATGTTCTTTCATAATCTTCCGTAGTCCTCTTGCAGCATCTCTTCTCTCCTCTGATGGCAACATGTCACTCACATGAGATCCAACAATAGCAAACACAGCATTAAGTGTTAGTTTTTTCTTCACTATTGTGACGCATATCCGAGTGAAGCGACTTTGCAAACAAGAACAAATGTAGGGCAGGGCTTGATTTTGTCCATGTGGAATTGATTGTATGGTTTTGCTATTGGTGGATCTCGTGTGATTGACAGGTTGCCATTAAACGTGTCTTCAGAGAAGAGATGTTGTTGCAAGAGGAAGAGGAACTTATTTTGCTTCAAGATTACAAGGCATACAAATAAAAAAAACGATGTGCACAAATCTATTTAGAATAAATACTGCAGTATTACATAAAAAAAGAGAAAAGTCAATATTGATTTCATGCTTGATTTTAACACATGTGCAGTGAGGGAGTAAATACACTTCAATGCACTGAAGAATCATAAGAAAGGGGCTTTTAGAGCGAACAGCCATTGTTCCTGACAGAAGCAGTTTTACTGCCTGTAACTTCACAGCACTGATGCTTCAACAGATCAGAGCCAGTGAATAGGAAGTCTACATGAATACAAATGACAAGTTCTTTTGTTCTTTTCTTTCTAGAAGAGAAGTGTGAAGTCTGCAACACTGGCAGTTCGTGCGGTTCATGCACTCCGTCTGTGATGGGGGCTATTGTGATTACAATTGTGCTTCTTTTGCTTGTAGCATATGCATTTACAAAGAGAGGTAACAAACATATCTCATAATCAAACTTTACAATACAAGAGTTTCATGACTGATATTGTCTTTATTAACTATAATTTGTTTTTCCTAGAAAGAATTAAAGATGCCTTCACTGCCATACTCCGTTGCTCCTGGAATCTAATAACACAGAGATCACAGAAGTAATGGACTCAGCGGTTTACAGCAACACTTATCCTAGGTCTTCCTTTTTTGAAGTGGTAGCAGTCCTGACTCCGGGGCCTCTGGTGGTGAGGAAAATAAGAGACCCTACCAAATGGGACAAGACATGGAGGACAAAAACACTTCTTTTGCATAAGATTCAGCTGAACAGTCACCAGCATGCATGCTTATTCAAAGAAAGGAAGTGATTTGACATTGTGTTCCACCAGAAAATATCTATACGAGATGGGAGCATCATGAGGCAAGAGCTTCCGTTTAAAGCAAATGATGAACGGAAGTCATGACTGTTGTTTTGACCTGGATTCTGTGTGTGAAATGCACCTGTGTGCGAATGATGATTCCTGTACTTCAAACAACCTTTTTACCAGCAATTATGATGAAATTATTAAAGATAGAACAAATATGGATGTCTTCAAAAATCTGAAGGCTTTTGCTCGTTCAGTTAAAATGGATGGCAACGCTTCTGGTACTGATTTCCTTTCAAACTTTACATGGCAGCTTTTTTAGATAATAAATAGAAACATATCACAAGCATTTAAAAAAAAAAAAAAAAATCTATGTAAACCAGGACTGTTATAATGAATTGTAGCAGTGAATGTTAGCGCACAGTTCCCCTCCTGTTTCGTGTTCAGGGACTTTTATTTTGAAGTGTATTTTCTGTTTCCGTTGTTCACTGCCTGTGTTTAGTTCCTGTTTTACTTTGTTTCCATAGTTTCCTTAGTTAGTTAGTGATTCATTACCCACACCTGTTCTTTGTTAGCCTCTTGTTATCCTGTGCATTTATGCCAGTGTTTCCCTTGTGTCTGATGTTTTCCTGAATGTTATGAGTGTGTAGTTTTCAGTTCTGCCTTGCCCGATGTCTGGATTTATTCTGGTTTTGCCTACGTCTCCCTTAGCCTGGATTTTGTTTGTTAATAAAAGCTTTTGATATAGTTGGATGCTACTCTCACTCTTTCTGAAACACCAGTGTTACACAGGTGTTTCATATATAGAATGTTTTAGGGGTTCCCATTATGGTATCATTTTATGGATTTAGGGTACGTTTACAGGACAACGATGTCCTAAAAACTGAAAAGTTTCTCATTTGTGTTTTTCGCATACAGACGATAACGTTGTCAAAACGATCTCCGTTCACACGGTTCTGTGAAAATGATTAAAAATGCTGTATTATTTATGCCAGGCCAATAAGAAACCCTACGCATACAGACTGAACACGTTATACGCATGGCATCCCCGTTTTCACAGATTCACATTTTCAAAAGCTTTCATTTTCAGGCCCCCAAAACACCATTGTCGTCTTAAAGGTACAATATGTAGCTTTTTTGGCCACAATAGGGCGCAGTTTCCAACAATAACAAATGCGTATGTTTATGACGCAGTGATGAGCTGAATGATGGGACTTGCTGTCAAGCTGATGGATCTAATAATGTTTATGGATGAGTGAAAACACTCATGTTTTTTAATATTACAGTGGTATGGAGCAGGATTGCTAAAGAGACAGATATCACACGCGAGTGCCGCAGATATAAAGGAATAAGGACATTTAATTCTACAGAACTACCCGCAAGTGCTGGATTACTCACACAGGTCAGTTTATTAGACGAATTAAACTTGTGAGGTAACGCAGCGCTGCTTCACTTGGTCTAACGTTACACTATCACACTAAACGGCATTTAAATGTGTGTTGAAAGTTATAATGTTATTCTACGTGTTAGTTAGTTTTTTCTACGAAACGATCAGCTAGATCAAGATTAGAATAACGTCATATTCTAACATATCATCATGTTGAGTTAACATTGATTTGTTTCATGTACATTTGCTCACCTGTCTAATAAAGCTGTCAAGTAGTGACTCGTGAAGCTCTGTCGAGTCCAAGTTAGTCGTGGACGTGGAGCTCTCGGCATATCAAAAACCCCACGCTGATATTGATCCTCATTTTAGTTCTCCTTGTTTGTCCCAAAGTCTGCTTGCCATGGTTTATGTTTGAACGAAACAAGAACTTCGTGCCGCTAAACGTTACGCATTACGCAGTTGTTGCCGGAAGTTGTCAGTTGTCAGCCGGGGGGCGATATTTTTTTTCACAGGATGGTAGGGGAAGGAACCGCCTTTTTCGCCTCTGATTGGTTTGAAGGACTCTCCTCCGATTGGTTATTTGATTTGGGTTATTGTGTATGTGTGTGTATCGTGTGTAGGGTTGGGTATCGGTTGGGTTTCATCCGATTCCAGTAGGCCTACCTACTCGGTATTTTTTAAACGGTTCCGGTGCTTAAACGGTTCTTAAATCGGTACTTAAGAAAATGAAACCGCACACACTTTATCAAAAAATAATACCCTTTAATTTACAGGGCCAAACTGGACATAATATTTACTTAAATCTTTAAACAATATAAATACAAGTAACATATGGTAATAATAAAACCAATATAAAATAAAAATTCATATTTACTGAAAAGACTCCTGCCCTTCTATTCCCTTTCAACTCCATTTCGCTCTTTCAATGATACTTTGCCACCTGTCACCTGGCCACACCCACCTCACCTGTTGCCTATAAATTGATTGTGAACCTTTTGGCTCATTCTTTGCACTCTCTCCTGGCACTCTGATGCATAACTGTGTGCGTCTTCATGAATTACGTGAGTCCATCTATTAATTTGATTGTGTTTTTCTCTCTTTATGCCTTTTTTTATGATTTACTGTCACTCTGTCAACATGTGCACTGCTGATTGATTAATTTGTTTGCTAGACATGTGCCTTGAGCCATGTGGAAAGATTGTTTGTTTGAATTATGTTTTACAGTTTGTTTTATTGTGATTAGTACACTCACATCTTTGTTGTTCATTTATATAATTGTTCAATTTGTGTTGATTGATCACTGTCACCAATTGTATCATTTCTTTGTTGTCCCTTATGCAGCACACAGACAATGCATTGACCCAAAGTCAACCTGCATGATGCAATAAAAAAACTACTGGTGTTGAAAAAAGCCCTTGCCTTCTCTCTGCCTCATTCATCGTTCCATATCAGTTGATGTCTTCTGACCGAGACTCTGTTTGCTCACCAAACCTCACTCTACCTGAACCATTTCCATAACCCTACAGTTCCTACAATGGTCCTTCGAGCCAGAGCCTGAGTGAGGGTTACCATGGCAGGCATTGGTATGGATGAAAAAGATGAAAGAGAGTTGGAGTTGGAGAGGGTTCTCCCAGTCACAACCCGTAGCACCTTATCCAGGCGGGAGAGGCACCAACCTGACCGCTATGGCTTCCCGGCTCCGGTTGGAAAAGCCTTTAGTAAGCCCAAGAGCCTCCCTCATCACAGCCAAGCAACTAAACCATCTACCACGACAGCAGTCGAGGATGGTGACGTGGAGGAGGAAGAGGAGACCGAAGCCGATGAGGTAGTAGTGGAGGAAGAAGAAATCACCCACGATTATGTCCAGCCCAAATCGCCAGAGGAGCATTCAGTTCCACAACTAGCCACACAACCAGCTCCACCCTCACAGGGAGAGGGGAGACTTAAAAGATCTAGAGGCAAGAGGGATAAGCAGGAGTCATTACCCAGGTCGAAGAAAGCCACCTCTTATACTTACACTTATGGCAGTGGAAGTTCCCGAAGCTCATGTAAGAGGAACCAGGTGGAGCTCACCCTCTACAGGCAGCCATGATTGAGGAGAGGAGGAAACGTGGAGAATTGCAAGAGATCCAAATTCAAATCCAGGAGGAACAAGCCCTAGATGGCCGGACTCTAGAACTGGACAGGCAAGCACAAGCAGCTTTGACGGAGAGAGAGAGGATGTCCCGATCTCTGACTCTACAGCGACGGCTGCGGAGAGTTCAACGAGAATTGGAAGAGGCTCGGCTGATAACCTCATTCACCGGAGAAGTGACCATAGAACATCCAACTACTCTGTCACCACCTCAAGAGTTGGCTCCTTTTTCAATGAGCTCCAGAGTTTTGGATTCAGGTGAACCTGTCGACCTGGTTTCGGAGCAGCAAGCTCCCTGTGTTAGTCCTCAAATATCTGTCTCCAATTCCGTTCCAGTGAATCACCCAACCACTTCGTTCCAATCTTTACCTCAGCACGTGAATCCGGTGAGTCAGGCTGCGACTCTCCCGGCTGTTCAAGGGATCCACCCCGCAGTTCCGACGTCTAGTCCAGAGCAGACAACTCCTTCACCTCCTTCGTTCCTCCATTTAGTGCGGACCGTACCTCGTCCTGCCCAGATTCAAAGACCCTCAGATCCAGTTCCTAAAATGCCTGCACCTCCTTCCTTGCTTAAGCCCAATGAAAGGACCTCAGAGGGAGCTAGTATCATGGAGCTGTTAGTAGCCACTGCTTTTGGCATTCCCAAGCCTAAACTGCCTTATTTTGAGAGTGGAAGAGAAAGTGACTTTGTTTTGCTTAAAATGGCATTGGAGAATCTGTTAGATATTCATGCTCACCTCTCTGAACAATATAAGTTCCAGGTTCTAATGGACCACTTGAGACTGCCTACTGCGTACAAGCTAGCAAAGTCTTACATGCACGCCTCAACTCCCTATACATCTGCTCTTGCTGCCCTTAAGGCAAAGTATGGCCAGCCACGGCAGTTGGTCCAAAGTGAACTAGCCGACATCCTTCATTCACCACCTGTCAGATTCGGAGATAGCCATACATTCCAAGATTTTGCTCTTTCTGTACAATCATTGATCGGCATGCTGCGGTCAGTGGACGGTGCAGGTGGAAGTGAGTTGCGGTGTGGCTCTCATGTTGACAGGCTACTAACCAAGCTTCCTCTTCATTACCGGGACAGTTTCGTTGAGCACTGTTTGAATCGTGGCATCCTGAAAGATGGCGCAGAACAAACATATACCTTAGAAGACTTCTCTGCCTGGCTCCAGGTGAAAGCCAGGGCCAAGAGTATTGCCCAACAAGTTTCAGTCCCTGCTTCAATGGAGAAACGAGAGCCAGTCCAGAAGAGTCAAGGGAGAAGGGTGACGCCTACCACTATGTACCTAAGCAACACAGCCACTGTGGAAAGCCAGCCAAGTGTTCGAGGAGGCCGTGGGATGACCATCCTTTGTAAACCCAAGTTCCAACCTTTCTGTCCATACTGTAACAACAACGACCACTTCCTGGGAACCTG